ATGTTGCCAGGGGAATTCAACAGAGCTTGTAGGCAACAAAGCCAAAAGGCAGAGTTTAAAATGGCTTGGGGGAATGAATGGACTCAGTTATGGCTGCAGCTGAAGGCTGTGGACAATTAACAGCATTTGTCAACACTCATTCGGCCCCATAAAGCACAAGCAGTCCCTACAGCCCTACCGAGCAGCAACTTCTAGCTTCTGGCACAGTAAGATGCACATGATCTGAAACAAAACGACAGCTCCTCGTGCCATCACTGAGGAGGACAGTGATACATTTTAGAGGTAGCTGCAGAACCACAGAGCAACTGCCAATAAATGCTAATTGTCTACATCACTCCGGCTAGCCTCATTTCAAATCAGCTAGCCATCACTAAACATATCAAATATCACTTACAGAGAGGTTTCCATTTAGAATGAGTAATTTAAAAATCTTCATCATGCTATGATTTTTCCAAAGATATCAAAATGACCTTCTAACCTCCCTCTTGATATGGCGAATTCTCAACTTACTTCAGCTGAAAGAATTCTGTATGAAAAATACTGAATTCATTCAATTTTGGTGTTTTATTTTCTTTTTCAAATCTATATTAAATACATTTCACTCACGAATGTGTGCAAAACGAAACAAAACAAAACCCAAGAGAAAAATTTCATTAAATAAATTTATTTGTTAAAATAATTTAACTCCAAATACAACTGCTGAATTTGCATCGAGTTGTAACTAAGATCCATGTTTTAACTGAAATGTCAAAGACATCATTACCAAACAATAAGTTGTTTAACTTTAAATGGTCAGTTGTGTTAGAGTTTGAACAATTAGCTGTGAATTAGGTTGATTTCTGGGAAACCCCAAATCAATAATGATAAGTTTGTTTCCAAAACCCACTGCGGTCATCCTTTAAACCCTGATCAAGATTTAACAGATGCACAAATGACACTTAAAAATGAAAACTCAACCCCCCCTCCCCATAGTCTTTTAACATGTGATGGGCTAAGGAGACAATTAAAGCTTATCCACTGCTAACACAGGACCAACACAGGATAACAGAAAACGCAAAAGAACTCGAAAAGTCAACAGACAACCAAACAAAACACTTGCACATTTACACAAACAACATTCACACTAGAGAACCCTGGAAAGCAAACCAACGTCCTTAGGCAACATTTCTTTACACAGAAAAGCAAACATCAGTAGTTTCACCACAGAAAAGTGATGGTAACCATAGCAGTAGGAGTCAAAAGTTCATTTCTAATTCTACATACGAGAGGAGAGAGTCATCAAAGCACCTTTCAAGAGTTTGAGAAGGATTGTTCGGGATACTTTTGATCGGCAGATGCCGACTTGCTTTACATTAAGTGGAACACATGGAGAGGTATCAGCTACCATCACTATCACAACATAAAAGAACCCAAAAGCTGCCACATTCAAAGGAGAAAACTTTAAAGAATAAAAATGCTGCCTTTATATAAAAGTCAAATGAAAACACAACCTTGTCACAACAGCTAAAGAAAAAGTGGGTCTTTGGATTAAACCATAGTTTTAAGGCATGTTAGAAAACGTTCACGTATATAGCTGCTAGTCTGATCAGGGCTTAAAATAGTGACCAGAGGTCAGTATTCTTCCTCCGTAGCCACTATCACTTCGTGTGCCAACAAATGTCATCTCCTTGAAAGTTTTGTTAACTCTCAATCAGCACATCTCATTCATTCAAGCTGCGTTATAAAGCACAAGAGGACCTACACTTTCTGAATGCTTTGTGATGCTCAGTCACTAAATATGCAGGGCTGTGCAGAAACACTGACCAGGGCGCCGCATCACTTCTTAGTAACATTTCGGCAGGAAAAGTCCCCCTTACTGTCCTCTAGGGACTCCCCTCTGGTACTGTAGTGGAGAACGAGCTAAGAGGCTAACCGCAAGGTCAGCAGTTTGAAACTACCAGTGACTCTGTGGGAGAAAGATGAGGCGTTTTGCTCCTTTACAAGGGTGTAAAGATGTACACCCCTGGAAACCCTATCTATACAGGGTCATTGTGACTCCATGGCACACCACCACCACCACCACCACCACCACCACCACCACCACCACCGTTCTTATATAAACATTAAGAACTAAAACTAAACTTTAGATGATCTACCTTACATTTTACCAGACTTGCCTATTGTTGAAGATGAACATCTTATATAAGCAACCCAATAAGCAATTATCATGATAAATGGAGAAAAGATGGAAATTGTCAAAGATTTCATTTTACTTGGGCCCACAATCGGAGCCCATGAAAACAACAGTCAAGATATCAAGCAACCTATTGCATTGTGCAAACTTGCTGCAAAAAACGTCTTTGAAGTATTCAAAAGCAAAGACGTCATTTTGAAGACTAAGGTGCACCAGTCATGGTCTTTTCAATGGTCTCATGTGCATGTGAAAGCTGGGTACTGGATAAGGGAAGATGGAAGAGTTGATGCCTTTGAATCACGGTGTTGGTGAAGATTATCAACTATACCATGGACTGCTAGAGAAGGAACAAAGCAATCTATCTTGGAAGAAGTATAGTCAGAATACTCCTTGGATGCAAGGATTAGAACATCTGGATTTTGTTCTCACTCCGTCAGGAAGGGCCAGTCCCTGCAGGAGGACACGCTTGGTAAAGCATAGGGTCAGTGAGAAAGAAGATTCTCAGCAAGATGGACTGACGTAGGGGCTGGAACAATGGGCTCAACCACAGCTAAAGGGATGGTGCACAACGGGGCGGTGTTGTGTTCTTGAGGGCACCAAACAACACAGTAACCCACAATGGAAAACTGTAGACTCTTTAAAGATGAGTCTACCATGCAACCTTAGCTGTCAGCAATTTCTATTTTGTATGGAATTCTAAAACAAATGGAATCCATTACAGAAATGAGAGGTTTCGAAATGCAATCAAATCACTAACATTATTCCTTTTTCAACAGGTAAATAATACTTCTTAAATCTTTGATTTCTCTGTTCGAGTCAGACCAACTTTTACACAGTGAAATTTGTTTCACTGAAATTGGCTAGACAATTTTGATCTATGCACGAGGTGCTTCGGTCCTAACAGAAAATTATAAAAACGATATTGAAGAACATGAATAATCACAATTCAATGAGTTTTGACAACTACAACCTGGTTTTTACCCACTTATCTATCTTCTTCTGTTTTCACATCGTTTGCAAAGTGTGAGCTACGAAACATTTTTCTATCCGCTGAAGTTTGATGCCAGCTACTAACCACTTTGGCAGCTACAAGTGATGGCAATAATGTATAAAGCCATTTAAGTAATTAAAAAGAAATGGTTTTGATGCACTGTATTCTACAAGACAGACTTGCAGTAGAAGCCATGATCTCTGACTTGTGTCCAATTCTTAGGAACGACAGACACATGTGCTCGCGCAGACAGACATTCATCCCTCAGTCACACACAGAAGACCCAAGGCTACGTGCCCAGGAGACCAGTGAGATGTGGGGCGGGATGGAGAGTGCAGGCTTGGTGACAAGGCAGTTCTGAAGGCCAAACGTCTCCTCTGAGGTCTAGCTCACAAAGCATTTTTAACTCTCAAGTTATTAGGAACCCTTCCAGACTTATTTGTAAAACTTATGAACAGGTATTTCCTGTGACATTAGTCCATGCAAATGATAAATACTTCACAACTATGAAAATGAAAAATGTCAGATCTGAAGCACCTTTTCAAAACAAAATATTCACTCTGGCTTTATTTGCCACTGCAGTAATCAGGGCAAAACTGTTCAAAGAAAACCTTTATATAATTCTGCAGTAAATGAAAGATGAAAGGCTTTTTTGTTCTTTTACCTTACACTCTGTAATTTATGTTCTACTTTTAAACCCAAATTATTCCACATGGTTATTCAATATTTTAAATGCCTGCATTAAAGCTCTGCTGTATAGCAAATTTGATTCGGAAAGCAGGTTAGCCAAGGACCACACCACCACCATAGCCCTTAGAGGCAAGAAGGGTTTGCTGCCGTAACAAACATAACGATGCAAGATATCTGTCCTGTGAGGTTTCTGCAAATGGGAACGTCTGGATGCAGCCTGGCTTCATTTTCCTTACATGATGGTACTAGGGAATCTACTAGGGCGCTCCTTGTTAGTAAGGCTAGACAATTTCTTTTCATCACAGTTGCTTCCTTCTTGTTCAGCAAAGGAATAAAAGACCTTCCCTGCTCGGTTAACAGAGGATGGGTGTGTGGTTTTAATTCTGATCAAAGCCTTGGGAAGTCTCTATGTTGTGTGGTGAAGCAGGTGATTTATCACATTCTAAAAGCCAGATTGTATTTTTACACAACTTGTTCTGATTTGTACACCCCGCTCCCAACCCCCACCAAGCATTGATGTAGGAGTTAGTTCCGTATCACAAATGAGCATAAACATCTACAATTAAGCATCACTTTTGGAAAACAGAAATATGTCAGCTGAGCAAAGACTCTCTCCCTGTAACACAGTTGGCAGGCTAGCTGTCATTATCTTACTTGGCAGGAAACATGGGTTAGTAGTACTAGCCCAATTCCTGAAATGCAGTACTCACGTAGGAAAATATTTCTCCTTTTACTTATTATTATGATCATCATTTTTAAAGAAGACAAAATATTTTAACTGTCAAAGGTCCTAGGAATTCTTCGGGTTTCTCCCTCCAGATTACTTTCCATTTACGCAAGAGTTGCTGCTGTCCATCAGCGGCAATACTGTCCTCGCTCCCACGTGATATCACCCTGTAGATCAGACGGCTGTGCCTTACAGTTGCACCAGGAGACGGGGGACAACGGCGAAAACTGCAGTGACTGGGCCCAAATGTTACTCAGACGACCGCTGACGACCTCTGCTTAGTTCTCAACAAGGGGTGGCATCTGACTGTAGATTCACACCGGGCGTCCTGCAAACTCCAAACTCCAAAGAAGAGCAGGTGAGGTTCCTCTCGCCTCCAACGTTGGGCAGCTCCTGTCCGGGACGGTCAGACTTCAATGCTATTGTATGTTACATGCAGAACAGCACGGGTCATCTTTGTCAGGCTGGGCCGCGTAGTTCATTTGCCTCACAATTTCGGCAAAGAGTTCGTCCACCATCGTTTTACTCTTAGCAGAAGTCTCCATAAACGGGCAGCCCCACTCTTCAGCCAGGGCTCTGCCTTCATTGGATGAGACCTCTCTCTCGCTTTCCAGGTCCACTTTGTTCCCAACCAAGATGACCGGCACTTTCTCATACCTGGCAGGGGATTAAGCAGAACACACATTTATTGTAGAAGTCAGTCAAAATGTAAAAATCTTTCTTTTCTTTTTTCACTATATTCTACTATAAACATTCTCTTTAGTGGTATGAAAAAGTATTTGCTCCACTTATGGGCAGATCGAAGTAGAACTGTCCTCCATAGGGCTGTCAAGGGCTAATTTTTCGGAAGGAGACTGCCAGGCCTTGCTTGAACTGCCAAGCTTTCAACGAACGGCCTGGCACGTTAACTGCAGTACCCGGGACTCTGCTTTCAGTGAGCGGCCTGGTACGTTAACTGTAGTACCCGGGACTCTGCTTTCAGTGAGCGGCCTGGCACGTTAACTGTAGCACCCGGGACTCTGCTTTCAGTGAGCGGCCTGGCACAT